TGGCTCCCCGGGGGTGCTGCTGCCACCTCCCCTTCCCAAGGGTCTGGCTGGAGTAGAGCTAATGGTCCATCCATGGTCTTCGTGCCCCTGGACGTGCCAAGGGTGAGGGCAGGGATGGCAGCAGGAAGGCCACAAGTTGCAGGCCCAGCAGCAACCACAGCAGCTTCTTCTGCTCATGGGGCTTTTTATTACCAGTCTCTGCCCTTTGGGCTTTTGCACCTGAGGGCGGTTTCCAGTTGGACCCCTTTGGAAACCCCAAGGTTTCTATTCATCCCCTCCAGACCTCGTTCTCCTTCCAGGGCTGTCACTCTCACAGCCGCCTCCACAAGCATTCCGTGGTGGTTTTCTGCTCCTCACCCTCCCTGTTACACAACCAGCACCCACTCAGGGCAGCACCTTTCCCTACCCAGCCACGTGCCCACCAGCACATCCATCTGCTGCGGGCATGACCCCACTTTTCAGGGAGGTGTGAGGCTTCCCGGTGGGCTTGGGTGGTGGGACTGCATCAGCCCCTGCCCTGGTGCACTAATTGCACCGGGCAGCATCGCAAACAAGCAGTGCTTGAACCCACCAGCCTAAGGAGGCCGTTTCGGCTGCGAGACAAATGGATATCACGGAGCAAGTGGCAATTAGCGTGGGTAAAGAGCCCCTTAGTGACTGTCCCTTACATAACACCTTTGTTCTGGGCCCTTCACTTCATACTCAGTTTGTAAATAAACTTGACTCCCAGTTTTTAACTGGGGCCTTTCTTCTCCCTTTATTTTACTTTATCATTCTTTGAACCCGGCGAAGAACGAGTCGATTGTTCGCCCCCGGGGAGATGCAGCTCTCTGAGGCCCTGCCCGGCCTGGCGGTGCCCGCTCGCCCCAAAACGGGCACTGGCAGCTGCCCACGCCAGAGCCACCCACGCAGCCGCCACGCCAGCAATTTTAATTGCTCTGGCCCCGCCGATGGTGCCCGGAGGGCTCATTATGCTGCTGGTCATGAATGGAGGCCTCGAAACGTGGCTCTGTAATTGCAGTGGGTTGGGGGCAGGGGGGGGTTTTCATTTGGGGGTGGCTTGGCAGAAGGGGCAGAGCTCTGCCCCCAATATTTGGGGTCAGGGAGGGAGTCTGAGGGGCACTGGATCAGTCCCAGTGCAGGGACCCGTCTCTAATTTACGCCGTGTCCTCCCTGTCACCATCTAAACTGTGGGTCCTGGGAGGCTTTGTCTGCACCCACGGTGCTGCTGTCAGGCTGGTGGGGAGCAGAGGCTCCAAGGCATGGGGGGATGTGGATTTGGGGTGGATTTGGGGTGCCTGGTCCCAGGCTTTGAGCACGCTGTGGTGAGCAGGGCACGATGGCTCTCCTGCCTTCGACCTGCACGCTCCAGCCTTTGCCAGCTCCTTTTCCAAAGGGCAGGAGCCACTTGGAGAGTCATTGACGTGTTTAGTACCACGAGCAGTGGCTCTTCCTCCACCAGCCGGGCTCTCCCCTTGCTGTTGGTGTCTGAGATACTGGGTGGTACTGGGCTGCACTGGGAAGCCCTCGGGCACTGCTCTTTGTTCGGTGCAGGGATGGTCGGGCCCCTGCTCCTCTCCCGAGCCTTCCCTCTCCCATCTGGTGCCCATTATTAGGCGTGTGCACCAGTCCCGTCTGACAAGGAGCTTTACAGGTGTCGCTGGGATAACGATTCACACTCCGACGAAGGTGGGAAAGATGATTAGCTGGCTTTCTATCAAACAGCACACGGCATCAGCTGCTCCGGGGGGTGGGGAGGCAGTGGGGGCTGCGGATGTGTAAGGACATGTACGCCGGGAGCTCGGGGAGCCCAGGCTTTGTCCTGCTTCTAATTCCAATGGACTCCCGGGCACCTCTTTGTGTGCCTTAGTTTCCCCAGCTGTAACAGGGGGATGTTGTTATTGCTTTGACTTGTAAAACACCCTCCGAGCAGCTGATCGAGCTCCTGCATTAGCAAGAGGTGAATTAGGCAGGTCTCTTGGCAGCTGGGCTGCCGCGGAGAGGGCAGGGGAGCTGTCAGAGCCGGGGCTCTCGGGGGACAGGGCTGGAGGTGGGGAAACACGAACTAAATGAACCCCCTGGACGCTGGCATGCGGTGCAGCGTGCCTGGAGCGTGTTCTGAGGGCTGTGAGAGCCCCGTGGCGTGGGGAAGGTTCCCTGGTGCCAGAGTGGCACGGGCACGTGTGTGCGTGCCCTGCCCTGCCTGCATCGTGTCTGTGGGGTTCTGGCCTTTCCCTGCTGGTGTATTTTAAAGACTCGTTTAGCAGACAGGTCCTGGCACCCCTGAGCCCGACACGGGCACACCACACACCCAGCCCTGCGAGCTCGGGGAATTCCTTCTGTCCTTTCCAAATCCCGAACGTTTTCGGGGAGAGAGGCAAAATAGGACAATAAAATTCGGATGAGCTTTTCTCAGCTGTCCTTTGCTTCGGTGCAGGGAAAGCTGTGCTGTCTCACAGGTTGCGATCTGAAGGTGAGCCCTGCCTTGAGACCCCCCCCCCCCCCCCCACGGGGCCGGGGAAACTGAGGCACGAGAGCCGGCTGGCGCTCCAACCATCCCCCGAAAGCAGCAGAGGTGTGAAGGTGCCCAAGCTCCCCGAGCCCCACCGAGGTGTCATCCTCACCCAGACGCTGCTGTGACCCTCCTGTCCCGGGACGGGCCCCCGGCGCTGTGGGCAGAGCCGGCGCTGCCTCTCCCCGAGCTCGCGGGGCCGGCGGGATTATCTGCTTAGCTGCACCATCTGTTCCTCAAACTGCCATCATTATGTTCAACTTGGGGAAGAAAACGGCCCCTACAGAGAGGCAATTTGTTCGCTGACTAAACCTTTCAGGCTCTCGCCCGTCCCAGCTCCCCTCGGCCGCTGCACGGGCGAGTCCTGCGCTCGCAGCCGCCTCGCTTAAACAACCAGCGGGGATGGTAAAACGGGCGTGGGGAGGGCGCAGGGCTCCCCTAATCCGATTACAGAACATAACAGCCTTTCAGAGGGGCCGGGAGAGGAGAGGAGGAGGAGGAGGGAGGAGGTCCATATCACACCCGACCCCGGCGTCTGGGGGTCTCGCAATGATCTCACTGGAGGGGTTTTTCTTCCCCCCGGTCGCAGTGGGTCGCTTTTCAACTGCGCTGCGAGGAGAGGGGAAAGGAGAAAGGGGCTGCCTGGGAAAGGGGAGGAGAGGGCTGGGAAGGAGGTGAAGTGGGAAGGGGTGGCGCTGGGTTGGGGTGAGCGCTGCAGGCTGGGGGGGGACGGCCGGAATCCCTTGCTGGGCACCAGCCCTCCTCACCCCTGCGACGTGGCGCGGGGTGTGTGTCACAGGGGCACGGCCGCGGGGACGTGTCCTCCCCTGCGGCCTGAACGCGGCGTGGAGCTGTGGTCCCCGCAAAAACCCTCAGCGCCTGCAGCGGCAGCAGAAACGGAGCCGGCTGACCCACTTCCACTGCGTTTCGCCATGGAATTTCAGTGGCACCAAAGCGTTCAATGTGCTGATTTCACCAGTTTTCTGTAACGAGGCACGAAAGTGGAAAGAAGTTAAAGTGATGTTTTGACTTATATCAAAGCAAGGAGTTTGGGCTTTCTGCCGTGTTTTAAAAGAGGTGCTTTATTATCACCTGCAAACAAATGCTTTCCATTAATTTTTTAAAATTATTTTTTTGCATCTTTGATGCAGTCAGTGAAAGAAAACCTGCGTGCTTCAACAGCAGCAAACATCAGAACACGATGATCCCACCTGTGGTCACTTTGGTGCGAGTGCAAAGCACTTACCCCGAACTTCACTGTGCTGGCCCTGCACCCCTCCCCCCCCGCCCCTCTGCGTGGGGTGGGGCTGTGACCCCCTCCCCAGGGACGGTGCTGGCAGCTGGGGACACCTGTGCCTGCGGGAACCCCCCGTGGAGAGCGCTGGAGTCTGGCACGGGAGGTGTGAAAGCGTCTGGCAGCTGCCCCAGGCTTGTGGGAGGGGGGACCTCAAGGCCTCCCCCCCCACCAGGGAACCCCTGGCACAGCCACCATCACCCCGCTGAGAGTCCCCTGGGGCTGTGCCCGTGTTCCAGTTCCTGCAGGACCACTCGAGCTGCCACAGTCCCGGGGTGCTCCAACCTCCTGCCAGGCAGCTTTGGGGGCTGCTACCCATGCCTGGGGCAGGGAGATGAGGTGAGGGCCTTTCTGTGGGGCGTGTGGGGATGGCTGCAGTAGCCAGGGGAGCATCCCCCCGCCAGTGGGGCCGAGGGCTCGGGGAGCACCCCCTCGATTTGAGGAGGGGGGGTTTTCTTTTGTCCCAGCCCCTGGCACAAAGTGGTGAGAGATCAGGGGTCACCTCTGTGTTGGGGACCCTGTTGTCACCCTGCTCCTGCCCCTGGGTGCTGGCTGATGTGGCTGTCCCACCCTCCAAGGCACTGTATTGGGTGGCGATGACAACCTGTGAAACCCACACCGTGGGCAACAATCTTTGGGATGCATGGGGGGCAAGGGGGGCTTTTTTTTTGTTCCCTGGAACCACACCTGAAGGAAACAGCCAGCAAAGGTGCTGTGGGAACTCACTGCCAAATCCCAAAGCTACAAAAGATCTCAGGTTTTTAATTGTTGTGTGCAAAAGTGTCTGTAGAAACTCTTTGCTGCTTTCTGTGCAGCCTCCTGTGCCCCTTCTCCAACACCAGCACCCACCCCCATTGCCTTCATCCCTTCAGAGAGCAGCAGATGGGGAAACTGAGGCACAGAGCAGAGAGGGGAGGTGGCTGAGCCAAGCCTGGACAGGCTGAAGTGTCCCTGGAGAAAGCTGGATTGCTGCCACATAAACACTCGGATCACTGCAGCATCTCTTCACCCTGAGAAGGCCTGTGGGCACCCATCTTCTCCCAAAACATTTGGGACCAGGAGCTGGCTCCCACATGGAGACAAGGTGGCTGATTCCAGAGCAGGCTGCTGGGAAGTTCAGGCAGCCAAAAGTCACCTGGCAACGGCAGGGGGTTCATCCTGGTGGTGCAGGACCTCACCGGGGATTTGGGGTCGTTACACCAAGGTGCTGATGCCCGGCTCCATCCCACCTGTCCTGGGCTCACATCCTTCCTTGTCCACCTGCACCGAGACAGAGACATGGAGAGGTGCAGAAATGGGCCCTGCTCGGGGCAGATCGGGGTTGGAGGGGGGAATCAGACTGGATACTGGGGGAAAATCCTCATGGAAAGGGCTGTGCATCCCTGACAAAGGCTGCCCAGGGCACTGCTGGGGTCGCCATCCCTGGAAAAATGGGGTGGACGTGGCACCTGGGGACATTGGTTTGGTGGTGGCCTTGGCAGTGCTGTGGGAATGGTTGGACTCGATGGTTTCAGAGGGCTTTTCCCACCCAAAGTCAGGCAGTGATTCTATGATTCCATGACAGGGACATTTACTGCAGCTCTACCCAAAACGCTGCTGCAAGAGGAGGGAGGGTATCGGCTGCCTGACTCGTGTAAACCCCCCCCCCCTTTTTTTTTTTTTTTTTTAACCAGAAAATAGCGAGCTTTACCTCCCAGAGGACGGTGCTCTCCAGGTTTCCCTTGTCCGGGGGAGATCTCAGCGCCTTGGTTTTCAGGACGGCTCCTGAGGATGCCGAAAGCCGGGCGAGGGCGTCTGAGAGCGGGGCGGCCGCTGCCCGGGCTTCCCCTGACATCTAGCGGCAGCGCCGGGCTGGGCTGCGGGGAGCCCCGGACACGGGGGGAGCCCCGGACACGGGAGGAACACGGCCCCGAGTGGAGCACTGCCCCGGGGGGAGTCCCAGCCCCGAGGGGAGCCACGTTCCTGAGGGCAGAATGGCACCGAGGGAGGCCGTGGATAGCTCCACCCCGGGGGGAACACGGTCCCGTGGGAGCCCCCGGCCCCCGCGAGGAGCCCCGGCCACGGAGGGTGCCCGATCTCGAGTGTAACCCCTGCCCTGGAGGGATTGCTCAGCCCCGAGCACGTCCCATGGGGACGCTCTGCTTTGGGGCTGCCCCTGCCTTCTCTCCCCGCAAAAACCACCAGTTCCCCCGCCCCTCAAACCCTCAATTCTGTCGCCCCCAGAGGCAAAACTCACCCGTGAGGCAGCCCCCGAGCGTGGCGAGCAGCAGGGTGAGGGGCAGGGCGCAGAGCTGCCAGAACGCCTGGTCAGCGGCCGTCCGGCTGCCCTCGGCCACCAGAGGGAACACGAGCTCCAGCCTGCCAACCAGAGAGCTTTTTGGGGAGCTTGTTCTGCCCGGATTGCACCCCTAAGGGGGTGCTGTCACAGCGGGTGTGTGGAGCATCCCGGGGCTCAGGGGGTCACGGTGGCCCCAGCTTGATGCATCACCAGCACTCCTGATTCTGGCTCTTCTCACCTGTCACCGAAAGTGTCTGCAGTGGCCAGCAGTGTCAGCAGCACCCCCAGCAGGGCGCCCAGGATCCCTGGCAGCCCGTGGACATTGTGGACCCCACACGTGTCCTGGATCTTCAGCCTGGAGTGCAGGACAGGCTGGGGAGAGCACAGGGAAGAGCTGGTGTTGGGAAGGAGCTCGGGTTGCCCGGGGAGGCTGCGCTGCAGCTCCGTGTTTGCAGGTTTGGGAGCTGCAGGTTGGTGATGCAGCTGCCACCAGGGATCCCCCGAGCTGGGACCAGTGTCCTTGGCCGTCCTGAGGTGACTCACCGTGAAGAACCTGAAGCCAAGCGGGCAGATCAGGCCGGCCAGAAACCCCGCGATGAGGGCCCCGAAGGGGGTGACCAACATCTCCCCAGCCATCCCCATCACGGCAGCGCCAGCCAAGGTGGCATCCTGGATCTGAACCTGAGGGAGCAGGACACAATCAGGGAAACTGGCTCTGGGGAGGACACCAGCATGGGGCTGGGGGAGGTTGTCCTCTTGCCCTGCGTGTGTTCACACTCACTGTCCCGTGTAGGACAGGACGTGGGCACAGTGTGAGACTTGGGTTTGTCCCAGGAGGGGACCTACCATCCGTGGGGTGCTGTCCTCGTAGAGGACAGGGGACAGGATGACGGTGGCGATGGTGCTGGCCACCAGTGAGAAGCAGGTGTTGAGCGCTGCCCAGGGCTCGGCACTGTCATCAGCAGTGGTGGCTGAGGTAAAGCTGGGCCAGAAGGCCCACAGGTAGATGGTTCCTGCAGGGAAGTGAAAACAGGCGGGTTTTGAAGGTGAGGTTGATCCCTTATGGGAAAGGAACTTCTTGCTAGTGCCAAGAGCTTTGAGTGGCCACAGTGTGGGTGGTTCAGGTCAGACATGGGGCAAAGCTTCTTCTAGGAGAGGGTGGTGCAGCCTCAGGAGAGGTTCCTGGGGAGGGGAAGGACCTCTGTCCTGGCTGGTTTGCAGGAATCTCCTGGTCAAAGCCACAGCTTCAGTGTCCTGATTGCTGGTGATGGCCCTTCCACCACCAACCCCATGGCTCTGGTTTTGTAGGATTTGAGCTCCGTACCAACCACAGCAAAAACATCCGGCTGGTGCCCCACGTCCTGCTGGTCCTCCCTCTTCCTCTTGTCCTTAGGGGGCAGGTGCAAGATCCGTGAAACCATCAGTCCAAAGTAGGCCCCGAAGACGTGGACGGTCAAGGAGCGCCCGCCGTCGCTCACCTGGTGAGTACAGAGAAGCACCGAGCAGGAACTGGGGATAAAGGATTTATCTCCACAGACGAATCAGGACAAGACATGAGGAGCCTAAACCCATGGGCACACCCTTTGCTGTGCCCGCCCCCCTCCCAGCTGGTGACTCACCCCCATGAGGCTGAGCAGGATGTATTCATTGAGGGTGCAGAGGGTGACTTCCACCAGGGCCAGCAGCAGCATCTGCACAGGGTTCACCCTGCCCAGAACAGCTCCCAAGGAGATCAGAACGGCTGCGGTGCAGAAGTCAGCACTGACCACGCTGGGAAGGAGAGGGGAGGTGTGGGGCTGGGCCTGGCACTGCTGGGGGGAGCACAGGAGCTGAGGAGAGCAGGAGCAAAGCCCACAGCCCAGAGCCTGCATCCCACCAGCCCTGCAGGCTGAACAGGCAGCCCGAGCCTCGCGGTGTTGGTGACAAAGGGACAGCTGGGCTGGAGGCAGCAGAGGGTCAGTGTGCCCCCCTAAATGCCTGGCTGTAGCCTTGGCAGTGCTTACATGGCCCTTATCAGTGTGGCACTCAAACCAGCCAGAGGCCTGGTCCTCCTTGTCACCAAACTGCTTCTCCAAAGCAGAGCTGTGAATTTTACAGAGGAGGGAGCCAGTGTGCCAGGGCTGGGCTGGGCTGAGCGTGTCTGGACAGCAGCAGCAGCTCCCTCCCACCTTACCTCCGGGCTCCCACGTAAATTTTGCCATTGAGGAAGAAGTACAAAAACCCCTGGATCAGTATGGCCCACTGGAGGGCAAAGGACACGAGGAGGATGCTGATGGCCGCGCTGCCTGGCCCATAGCGGCCGAGGAAGGCCACCAGGAGCCCGAAGCCGAGGAGCACTTGGAGGTGGACATTCCGAAAACCTGGGGGAGGAGAGGGCAGAGGGTGGGTCTGGGGGTGTTGAGCTGGTCCCCAAGAAAACCAGGACACCCCCTGCTCTGACAGGTTTGTGGGAACAGAGGCTTCAGTGCATATAAACCAGCCTCACTCCACTGATGTGTCTCTGGAGCTGTGGTGGATCAGGCCCTGGATCTCCCTTGGAGATCTGTAGCAGAGAGTGGCAGCAGCTGTGGCTTGTGCTGGTGACAGGTAAGGCTGTCCCTGTCTGATGCAGCCCAGTCACCCCTTGCAGTGGCTCCTTGTCACCCTGTCTGCAGCCATCCAGACATCTCAGGACACTCCCAGGGTTCATCCAGCAGCTCAGACACCTCCTGCAGTGGCTGAGAGCTGTCTGCACCCGTTACACCAGCATGAAGGTGGGTCTGAGATGTCAGCCCCCCTCCTAGGACCTTGTTGCTGCCCCCAAAAACACCACATCCCACTTCATGGGATGAAGACAGAGGAAGGACGAACAGAAAAATGGGACCAGTCTGGTGGCAAAACAGAGGATGGGGGACTAATTTCGCTTGAGCTGAACGCCCTTTGCACCTCTTTGTGCCGCCAGCTGTGTCCGGTCCTTCCCCGTGAGTCACTGCCTGGGTGGGGTTACGTGGGCAGGTGAAACCGGGAGAACCTGCCCCTGCCCAGCGGCTCAGCTCCACCCCCTCGCGTCTCCCATCAGAAAGCCACGGTCAGCCCCTCATCCCTCAGCCGGGATGAGATCCACAGCAGTGCCCGGCGTGCAGTAGGATGCTCCCAGAGGGACAGTCCCCCATCCCCGTGTTGGACCCTGTGGGAGCCGAATCCTCTGTGTGTGCGAGTCCCTCAGCACCGCAAAACCCAGCGGGTGGATGGGGAGCTTAGCAGACCCCAGGGCACGAGGGGTGGGAGCACGATCCCGGGTTTATCATGCACCCAGAGAACCCCTCCGAACTCCAGCCGGTGCAACGCATGTGCTGCACCCAAATATCCCTGTCTGGGGGCTGGGTCTGTCCAAGCACGTGGGAAATCTTTGCAGTACATCTGCTTTCCACCCTCTGCTCCCTCCTTGGTGGGATGCACTGGTACCCCAACCCTGCGGTGTGATGTTCCCCCTCTGATTAACTCGGGAGTCCAATCCAGAGATGGACGCTGTGACAGGATCTGCATCCCGGACTGAGCGTGGTGACATCCTGTGCCACCCCCTCAGCAGCACCTGGGGACCGCAGAGCCCCTCTGCACCCACGGGCACGGGGGGGTACTCACGGGGGTGCTGGAAAGCCGAATCCTGGTCTCTCCGGCTGCAGTTCAGCCGCGGGGAACAGAGGCTGGAGCTGCTCTCTGGGCTGTACCGGACAAAGACAGCGAAGAGGAGGATGTTGAGGATTTGGAGGACGAAGCACAGCCCGGAGAGCCGAAGCCTTGAGGCAGCGCTGTGCTCAGGCATGTCCAGTGGGCAGCCAGGGCAGGGGGACACGAGGAGAGCCACGCTGGGGCTGCAAACTCCGCCTGCCAAAGCCGCTGCCAGGTCCTGCCCTCGCCTCCCGCGCTTCCCACGGTTGGAAGAGGCTGCCGGGAGCGGGACGGCGCTGCCAACACGGAAACTCCGGGCTGGCTTCCCTGGCACGGCTCCACACCCGGCTCTGCCACGCCAGGTGGCTCAGGCCACTGTGCCGGGAAGCGCGTGGGGCGTGTGGTGTCGATGTCCCTCCCTGCTGGGTGCAGGAGGGTCGGGGGAGGATTTGGGGCGGGGGGAGGCAGGAGCTGTGCTGGGGTCTGGATGTTCAGCATTTGAGAGGAGTTATGGTTTGGGGGACTGGGTCAGGGAGAGGAGGTGGGGGCTGAGCTGCTGCAGAGGTGCTGGGCTTGGCACAGCTCAGCAAAGCCAGGGTCAAACTC